CAGAGGACTCCTTACAGATATTCTATAGAATATTCTCATAAGGTGATTCCATATGGAATCATATAGGGTCGCTATACATATATGATATTCCGATAATTTCTATACACAGTTGTGTACAGAAATTATCCGAATATCATGCACGTTAAATGTATAAGGAACATTCCACGTCAACTCAGCCACTCTGGATTTTTTTTTGTCTAGAAAAAATGATTTGATTGCTGCATTTCGAATTCCTATATATAGACAGTATTCCTGCCAAATTTCATTGCCTCATGATTTTTTGTTTTCGAGATAATGACTGCCAAACTTCAAATTTTCAAAAATTCATAACTTTTGAATGGCGCATCCACTTCGAACAAATACAAAATGAAAATTTTTGTTTTCGTTCATACTTTTAGTAAAAAAATATTCGATAGGCGTGAAGAAGCTTCTACACCTAAATTTCGATGAATTTTTACGTTTTATTTTTATTTTTTGGCTCTAGGGCCGTCCGGTATTCGACTGGAATATTTTTTTTCTCATAGAGGACATCTATATACGATGTAAAAAAAATACGCCATCATAGGAGAGACAACCAGTGTACCGGAGAAAATTTTTGTTTCCTAAATTTTTGTGTTTTTACGCCTTCTAGGAGAGCTGCCTTGTTTTTATTGAGAAATTGATGTTTCAATCCATACCTTTGATGAATATGAGTTAGAAAAGAGATGCGTCACGATGGAAAAAAGAAACGATGCGTCGGGAAACAATTTTTTTTCAAAATTTTTGCGTCTTTTCGCTTTCTATGAGAGCTATATTGTGTCATCATCATCGGAAGTTCGTCTAATCATGACCAAACAAATGAGAAAAGAAAACAAAAAGAATCAATTCATTGATTTAATATCATCAGTTTTTCCTGAGGCTCTAGTTTTAGTGAAAACTTCAACTTCCTCATTGAGTTTTCATCGTTGTACAATTCTTTGCGAATCGATTCGCATTTTCCTGTCTGTTGTATCGAGGTAAGCAGTTTTCACGTTACTTATTGGAATAATACTCATTTTCCGGATAATTTTGGATTGGATTTGATAATTTTCCATTTCATAGAATGCCGCGAAGTGATAGGTGTGCGAATCCGATGCGGATTCCTGGTCAGAAGGGACACAATGGTTTGGATTTGCGGCCCATTTCCTCGGCAATACACAAGTTTTCCTTTCTACCGAAGTCTGCGAAAATCTGTGGCCAGTGCCGGAAGATGGCCCCGAATTATGTGATTCCACCCGTCTCAATGGTGAATCTTCATGATACACATCTTCGATGTTCGGCCACCCCACCCGAGATATCAAAGCTCCAAGCCGAAACACCCGAACCAAGCCCAGATGTGATGAACAGTTCTTTGAGATCAGGTCGGTCATTCTATCTCGACGATTTCGGCATTTCAATCGATGAAGAAGCGGACAATGTATCTGAATTCTCCAGTTCCCCCATGCATTCTGATGTGGAAGATGACCAAAATGACGCTGATCCTTCTTTATCAAAGCGCTATCGATCTTCGAGAAAAATAGAATTAGAAAAAATGCTGGATGGTTTGAAGAAAAAATTCAATGATCTGGAAAAGTACGATGAGCGCTTGCAAATCTTGACGGTTCTTCCACAGTTGTGGAGAGAGTGGAAAATCGCTTCTGAATTTGGCATTATGAGATCCATGGCTTCAAGAGCGAAAAAATTGAGAGAAAACAAAGGAGTATTTGCCTCACCAATTGCGAAAGCAGGCCATTCACTTCCCAAACAAACGGTCGAGAAAGTACACAAGTTTTATCTAGAGAATAGTCGTATCATGCCAGGGATGAAAGATAAAGGATCCGTCAAAATCAATGGAGAGAAGAAAGTAGAGCAAAAGCAAATGATACTCGAAAATCTGAAACACCTTCATAAGAAGTACAAAAATACTCATCCAGAGGCTTTGGTTGATTTCAGTGAGTTCGCTGAGCTGAGACCAAAACAATGTGTACTGGTGGGGGCAAATTGCACTCACGTCGAATGTGTTTGCACGTATCATCAAAATTGCAAATTGATGCTCGAAGCCATCAACATTGCCACTCTAACTAAAGATTCCCCCTGCCCACTCAAGGATAACAAAGATTGACTAGCACCACTGATGTGTACAAATCCAACCCCGGCCTGTCATCTGGATGAATGTAACGACTGCCCTGGGGTGAAATCCTTCTCATGTGAATTGAAGAAGCTCCTTTCTGATTCTGTTGTTGAAACTGTCCAATTTTGCGTGTGGCAAACTACTGACAGGTGTACCTTGCAGACACAAACGCTTACGATGGATGACTTCGTCGATCTTCTTGTCGAACGATTAAAAGTATTAAAACCCCATCACTTCATCGTTAAAGAGCAATCAGCTATTGTTAAAGATCGAAAAGAGAATTTGAATAACGGCGAAGTACTAGTGCACTGTGATTTCTCAGAAAATTATGCCTTTGTGGCTCAAGATGCTGCTCAATCCTTCCACTACAAACAATGACCAATATACAGTCCATCCCGTTGTTTACTACTATCGCGAAGGAAACGAGATCCAGCATCGGAGTTTAGTTGTTTTGTCAGATAGTACTACTCACGATACAGCAGCTGTTTACTTGGTACAGAAAATTCTAATACAACATGTGAAGAATAACTGCAAAGATGTCGAGAGAATCATCTATGTCACCGATGGAGCTGCACAGCATTACAAGAATCGTTACCAAATGGCTAATCTTCTGTATCACAAGAGTGATTTTGGAATAGATGCAGAGGCCCATTTCCATGCAACCGCACACGGTAAAGGAGCTTGTGACGGTGTGGGTGCTGTTTTCAAAAGAGAAGCGAGAGGTAGAAGCATGCAAATCGTCCATGGTGAACCCATCCTGACGCCAGATGCTTTGTTTCGATGGTCAAAAGAGAATTTCAAAGGAATTGATGTGTTTTTTTTCACCAACCCAGGTAAGAATTACATAGGCTGACGATGAGAACAAGCCTGTATGAGCCCAGGGTTGTTGAGGCTCAGTTATTCAGGCCTGGGATAGGCTTGGTTTCATCTTTCACTTGAGCTTCAAATGAGGATGATTAAAGGGACCATTGGCCAGGCTCAATTCAGGCCTAGTCCAGGCTTTCAGTATTTAGGCTCAGTACGTCAAGGCTTATTCAGGGCTCAGCAAGGCCTCGAAAATTAAAGTTACTTCCGATTAATTTCCTCAATTTTTATATCAATACTCATCAGCTAATGGTGGTGAAAACATTATCATCATCTACAAACATAGCTATAATTTTCCGCCAAGTTATCTAAGCTAACCCCAGGCCAGGCCTAGAGCAGCTCTTTGTGCACGTGGCTACATAATTATTATTATCCTTATCTATAATTAATTAATCAATCGATTCTGAACTCCTAAATCCATCGGACCCATTATTCATTCAAGTTTAGGAAGTTTAATTAGGATATCAACAAAATAACAAAATAACACTAACATAAGTTGAATTTTTATACCTGAACAAAATGTATCATCCTAAGAAGTCGCAGGTAGCCCAGTGGATAGCGCGCGTGTTTACGGATCAGAAGGACCCCGGATCGAACCCCAATTTTGAAATGTTTGATTCCATTGTATTTCAATTTCCAGGTGCGCGGTAATAATCCAGGACGAGTAATTAATAGAAACTAATGATGATAATAATTTGTTTCCCATCCGTTGTTAATTAACCAACAATCACAATCACCAACAACGCTTAGCAACAGTGATGTACGGTCCGACCGCACTCGCTTTCATAGATTACTCTAAATTTATAAAAAGGGTTATGAAGCAATGAGAAATCGTTTATATAAATATCTGTAAACAATACTGCAGTTTATTTAGCCGAAGCTCGATTGAGCCTTTAAAATTTGGTAATTCAAAGCTTGAATCAAGCCTTGGCACCGAGCCTCGTTCAAGCCTTGCGGACTAAAATAAAACCGGTTTTTCCATATTTCGCACTTCTTTGGATGAGTACTTTGTCTTTCGAAAGAGGTTTATAATGTTGTTGATAGTCCCTCCCATCTAGCAGAAGGGAAAACTGTCGATTGAAAGGTGAAAGAAGCAAAAAAATGACTGAAAAGAAGAAGAAAAAGAAAAAAGGAGAAAAAATAAGAAAATTGCGATGAAATCACATTTTTCTGGTGTACTGCTTGTCTCTTCCATGATGGCTTTCCTTTTCATCGTTATGAGCAAAAAATATTGATTGACACGTTTGTTTCTTTGGATAGCTCTCATAGATAGCGAAAAAACTCAAAAATTTCAGAAAAAAAATTTTCCCGACGCATTGTTTCTCTTTTCTATCGTGATGAATCTCTTTCCTAACTCATATTCATCAAATGTACGGATTGAAATATCAATTTCTTAATAAAGACGAGGCAGCTCCCCTAGAAAGCGGAAGAACACGAAAATTTAGGAAACAAAAATTTTCTCTGTTGCACTGGTTGTCTCTCCCATATTGGCGTATTTTTTCTACATCATATATGGACGTCCTCTATGAGAAAAAAAATTCCAGTCGAATACCGGACGGTCCTAGAGCCGAAAAAAAATCAAAACGTAAAAATTCATCGAAATTTAGGTGTAGAAGCTTCTTCACGCCTATGGAATTTTTTTCCTGAAAGTATGAACGAAAACAAAAATTTACTTTTTTTATTTGTTCGAATCGGATGCGCCATTCAAAAGTTATGAATTTTTGAAAATTTAAAGTTTGGTAGTCATTATCTCAGAAACAAAAAATCATGAGGCAATGAAATTTGGCAGGAATACTGTCTATATATAGTAGTTCGAAATGCGGCATTCAAATCATTTTTTCTAGACAAAAAAAAATCCGGGGTGGCTGAGTTGACATGGAATGTCCCATAGATTTCTGTAGAATCGCCCTATAACAACGTCTCATAGAAAATCTCTACGTTTGTTTGATAAGTATTACTATTTTTCAAAAATGTTGAATGAGTTACCTTTTTTCCATTTTTTTATTAGGTTCCATTCTTGATGGCGAGAAACATCGGAAGAATTCATGCACCACATAAGCATAATGATCCGAGTATAACGAATTCACCAGATCGCGCGCATGAAGGAATGCACGTGGGTGTTCAATGCTTCCCTCTGGCTTCCTACATCGCTGCACTTCAAATCAAGACCGTGGACTACTTTAGTCTTGATATTGAGGGACATGAATTAGATGTCCTTGAAACAATCCCATTCGACAGAGTTGACATAACGGTAATAGTTAATGCTTTCCTCAAAAATTCAGTTGTGAAGTGATAAAACGAAATTCTGTCGGCGTTCCAGAATTGGGACAGGTCATTTGTTCTCATGCAGTGAACTCAGTCGATAATGAATTCCCGAGTCCAATGTGTTCTCGGTTTTTACCCAAAAACCGTGGCACACTTGGCGCGATTCGTCTTTGTATTCGCATTAGGGGCGTTCCATACTACTTCGATCAGATCGAAAGACTTTTTTTCAAACTTTAAGAAAATTTGAATATGGTGTCAATTTATTCCATGCATGCCTTGGATGGTTATTAAAAAAAAAATTTTGTTATGTGAAAAAACGAAACGAGTTATGTTTCGTTAAATTTTTTCGTTATGTGAAATCAAAATTGCAAGTTGGGCCAGGTGAGTTATTTTTTTTTCAATTATAACTCGATGAATGTGAATTTTATCAAAGTGTAAGAAAACTCTTTTATTCAAAACATGTGTAAATTTCGGGAAAAACAATCCTGACTCGTAAAAATTGAATTTACAATGAATTAATCAATACACAAATTAAAAAGTTGACAATAAATCATGAGGGCATGTCGCGAAAAATTCGACAAAAATATATTATATAGAGTAGGTCCGAAGAATTGCCGATACAATTGGCGTTCACTAATCTCCTGTAGTTCTCGAGATATTGAGTTTTTTATGAAACTGCGCCAGTTGCACGTTACCTCCGATACATGCTATGTTAGGGGAACACGCGAAGTGAATCGTACCCAATGGGTTCTCAGCGTGGTACTTTCTTCGAACCTCAATCAACAACGAATTTTGGGAGATTGCAAAACAGGTACTCCTGACTTTGCATTACTTATTGATAATGAAATGATTCCCGGAAATATGAATGGACAGTCAACTGGTGCATAAAGCTATCCTTTGGTGGAACGGTGAAGAGAGCCGCAACTCGTGCGAGTTTACAACGACCGTGTGAAAATCAAATTAAAACACCACAAGATTTTTATGAATTCGCTAAAGACTCAGTAAAGTCAATAGAAAGTATCTTTTGTACAACTGAGGAACATAAAATAGAAGAAGAGGGTTTGAAAATTCGATTCTCCAATGCGTCAACCATCACTGAAATCCGTCAATTTCATTCTTCAGATCCACAACGTCGTGTAGTATCAAATCAATAGTGAAATAACCATGTCTGATGCATGTAACATTGTACATTTGTAAATGTTCTCTCAGAATTTGTTAATAAATAAATTAATTTTATTTTTTTAAGATAATATTGTTATAATATTGTTATAAAATATTGTTATAATTGGAATTTGATTCACAATTGAATGTACTCGTAGACAATCGATTGCAATATATTTATTTCCCAGACACTGAGAATCTACACTAAGCATCGGTGATGGTACCAAGTCCACTCACCGCAGCACGCTGACAGCTCCGCTGTAGTCAGCTGAGCCTCATAAAAAACTCAATATCTCGGGAACTCCCGGAGATTAGAGAACGCCAATTGTACCGGCAATTTTTCGCAGCATGCCCTCATGATTTGTTGTTAATTTTTAAATTTGTTTATTGATTAATTCATTGTAAATTCAATTTTTTCGTGTCTGGATTTTGTTAACCAAAACTTGCACATGTTTTGAATAAAAAAATTATTTTGCACTTCTTTGATAAAATTGATATTTATCGAGTTATAATTTAAACAAAAATTACCTACCTGGTTCAACCTAAAAATTTTGATTTCGCATAACATTCCTAATAGAAATCTTATAGAAATCCCATAGAATTTCTATAGAATTGTAATAAAATTTTCTAGCAGATTCTCTAGGTTTTCTATTGAATTTTTTCATACGTGGTTGGAAGAGCTGTGGGTTTTTAAATAGAATAAAAAGTGAATAGACGTTTCGATCGCAATCTCTTGCGAATGTCCTAGTTTTTTTTTTCTACAATTTTTTCGCACGTATTCAATTCGAACGAGGTGTGGACAATCGACTCGTATTGTTTTATCACTTCAATTCTGAATGCATAACTCTACTAACAGAAATATTATTGCAGACTCTCTCCGTTGAATTCACTCATGTGGAGGGGGGTAAACAAAGGTTGATAAGATTCATGGAAGAAAAAGGCTATACCGTACACGGTCTAGTTACAAATGAAGACAACTTAGCAAATGATGTAATTTTCGTTAAAAAGTCTCAATGAGACTATTAATCATATTCCATATAATTTATTCATAATTGAGTAAGATCCCTGTAGAATAAAATCAGGTTTTTTTGCTGGAGTGTCTAGGCTCTCCATAAATTGTGATTGCGGGAGAATTAGCTATGTAACTTCATGTATATATTCTGTGACAATTGCATAGGTATCATAAAATAAATGTGGTTCTCGTTTAATTGTGCGCAAGAAAAACTATCATTCCAATAATTTTATTGCCTTCAATCTTAGCCATTTATTACAATTGATTATTAAATCAATACTACTTATGTTAAACATCAGAAGGATTTAATGATGGTAGTTGTAAACTATTTACATTACGTGTGGAAAAAATCAAATTCCATGTATAATATCTCTGAGCTACGATTCTTTTTATAAACGTGAAGTGTTCTCTTCTACACCGGAACAGTAGTTTCTTTATCAATAAATAATATGACAAATAGCCCTCGATCTTGAAAATTAATCGTAACATTTTTTGTTCAATTTTTTAAATCGACGACTATTTGTGATACTCTCTGTATGTCTTTTTTTTTAATTTCGGTTAAACCAAAACGTAAGGGATGAAGTTACTTTCCATCGCCAGAGGTTTGGGTTATGAAATCGTTCAATTGCCTTATTGTAAATGAAAATCCTGTGTGCAATATCCGAATAAAACATGAGGTATTCCATGCTAAATGAGTCAATGGCTGACCCTCACCCTTTTGGAAATTGATCTAGATTTTTTCTACTCGATTGGGATTCTATTTTTTCTTTCGATTGGGGGATTAGAAAAACTATCCCTCAATTTTTTTCCGATTTTTTCAACAGCCCATTTCGAAGATATGATTATTTCATTGTTTTTTGTTTTCCTTTTCAATAACTCGGGTTCTATTCAGCCGATTTTAATTCATGACGGCTCAAAATTTTCCATTTTCTGCCATCTATAAGAAGATTTCGGGTAATTTTTTTCCAATCTCTACATGCTCATAATACCGAATTTTCAAAAAAAAAATTGAAAAACTTGAATTTTTAAAATTATGTCACCTTTTATTTTGCCCATTTTTTAAAAATAATAACTCTTATATATTAGTATTTGGGGTCATCATACAAGTTAAGTTGCGTATTGAATCTATTTTATTTTTAATTTTTTCTTCTGGAAATTCCGTGAATTTGGTCAAAACACCCCAAAACGACTTCGATTATGTATCAAAATAATATGCAACATATGAGTATACATTTAAATTCACTTCATATTGTTTATAATCAAAGTTAATCAACGCCATTGTGGGGTATTTGGACCAAATTCGTGGAATTTTGAGAAGGAACCCCAACTTATATGATGGCTCAAAACACTTGTTTTGATTACAAGAGTTACTGAAAAAAAGACGAGAAAAATATAATGTGACATAATTTTGAAAGTTCAAGTTTTTCAACTTTTTTTTTGGAAAATTCGGTATTATGAGCACTTAGGGGTTAAAAAAAACAATTACTCAAAATATTTTTATAGATGGTAGATAATTGGAAATTTTGACGTGCCATAAATCCAAAGCGGATGAATAGAACTGAGTTATTGAAAAAAACGAAAAAATCAAGAAAAAATCATATCTCCGAAATGGGCAGTTAAAAAATTCTAAAAAAATTGAGAGATAGTTTTCCTTGTCCCCCAATCGTAGAAAAAATCGACATCAATTTCCAAAAGCCGTTGACTCATTTAACATGGAATACTTCATTACCATGAGTGTACCACGTGATCTTGAATATAAGGCTCCAATGAACTCCAATGGGCTCGATATTCTCACCGAATGATACTTCGTATATTCTCATTCTCATATCAAATGGAATTAGTGGAGATAACCCAGGAGTTATTAAAAAAATACATGCCGGTGCATGTAAAAACTATCTGAATTAGTATTTACAAAACTATTTACAGGAATAATATCTTTGTGCCCCTTCAATGATCTGGGCCGATTGTCTTCCAACAACAGACCGCTCTTTGATCGTCAGGTGCTGCACCGAATGGTTTGGTACCATCAGGTGCAACATATTGGTTGACCTGGTAGTCGAGGAGGACTTCGTAGCCGTAGACATCAACATCCAGTTGCTAGAAAGAAATATAGATTAATCATATAAACCATTCATTAGACAGGTGCATTTTGTGGAAATATTGAACATCCAACTTGATTAGATGGTGAAAACTCTCGCCATTATTTCTCTACACATTTTCCCAAAGTAACATTTTACATTGAGAAAAGTAAATAACACCTCAAACGAGTCTTGTTTGAACCAAAAACAGGCAGCGCGACAGAAGCCATTTGACAGATTACATATGACTGCTACTCTCTACGTATTTTTGTTCTCCTATTTTCATTTCTACCAATTTCATTGCTAGCAGGCTTCCGAATGGATCCCAATGTATGTTTTAAAAAAATTAAGGCATGAGGATTACCATTTTTTGAAAATATTAAGGCCAATCCCATTCATACTTCATGACAAAAAATGATTTTTTTTTCTCAAGACTGTTGAGTGAAATGTTCCATCTTAAGAACTATTAAATATATCAACCTAAAATTTTATATAGTAATGTTTCTTGGCAGTCCTAACTAGAAGTCAAAGTTTCATAAGGTTTCCCATGACTTTTCCCCATGTCATAGTGTGCAAAAGTGAATTCCGACCAAAAAAAAAAAATACAAAAACTACGATATCTCGAAAAATTTCAATGGGATGGTATCCATATTTTGTTGGATCTAGATAGATGACATCAAAACTCACATTTTGAAAAAAAAATTGAAATTGGAGCAATAGTTTTCGAAATATTAAGCAAAAGATCTTCACATACAAAGTTGAATATTTCCGAAACTACTGGTCCGATTTCCGTTCATCCAGAATCCCAAACTTTGTTACCATAAGACCTAAAATCATACTAATTTTCAAGTTTCTATCTTGATTATTTTCTTAAATTATCATGCAAACAAGCAACTTCAGCGAAAAAAATTAAAAAACGAGAATAAAACTACATTGCTCAGGGTGTAATGGTCTTTTTTCAATCCAATTAAATAGGTATCATCATGAGTATTGTGAAAAAAAAAATCAAATTGGTCGAATGGTTTGGGAGATATCGGCAAAAAACGATTTTCGAAGAATCGCTATTTCAGGAACCGCTCAACCGATCGAGCTGAAATTGAACACACATTTGCGTCTCAGTAGTACCAATTAGCAGCTAGAATTTTAGCATCTTTGCCTCAATTTTCAATTTCAATTTCAACAAAGTTTATTAACATATATTACAGCACAATTAAGTAACAATATTTACAAAATTAGCGAATGGGTGTTTAACTTACAGCTGCAGCCCGGAGGCTTTTACATGTTTGATTTCCTTAAATTTTATGATGATTTTATAAACATGAAGGGTGAGGATGAAGACAGTGGGGTGCGACAAAGGAAAAAATGTTTTTAACAAAAAAACCCTTTAACTTGAGGAGTATCAGTGAGACGGAGGGGGAGCCCCCAGTCGGTTATATCGGCCTTTTGACTATCTTGAGATTATGTATGGTGAGAGTTGGTTGATGAGTGAATTTGGATGGGATTTCACATTAGCAGCAAAGTTCTCAGTTAGGCGTGAAATGTATGTTCCTATATATTCAACTTTTGAGGACTCATGGAGATCATCGATAGGTGTATGGCGGTACGCGTTGTTAATTACGCGTAAGAATTTATTTTCCGTTATTTGAAGTTTTGATACGTGGATGGGCGCAGCATTGTGCCAGATGGGGGCGGCATAAGTCATGACAGGTCGGATAGCGCTTTGTAAAGTCTTAGTTTTAATTTTGTTGACAACGTTTGGGATTTGAAGAGGTAGTAGAGTCTACCCATGATAGCGTTCGCTTTATTGTTGACTCTAGAGATGTGCTCTTGCCAGATTAGTTTGTTATCAAGGGTGAGGCCCAGATACTTTGCGTTGCGAGAGATGTCTATTACATTATTGCGTAAGACAAACGATTTATGGTAAGTTTTGGAGGTGGCAAATATTACACATTCGGTTTTGGATTCATTAACATTAATTTTGAGTTTGGTACGGCCATCAATTATACCGCAAACAAATACAAAATACCCAAAAAAAAAAAAATTCGTGCTAACCATTTGAAAATTGTTATGAGATGGAATATTACTGTCTTAAAAATAGTATATGTATTTTGCTGCTGAAGGGAGAGCAATTTTTCATTTCGACTATATTCTATATTCACAGATCAAAAATACATTTTGAATAAAATAATAATGATATGATAGCACTCTGGTAACTTTGGAACAATATATTTCTTGACGAACTTCCCATTATGAGAGATATTTGAATTCTTAAAAGCACGTCAAATATTTCATTGTGGGACAAAGCAAAGTGATTATTCAGTTTTGAAACTTCCATATATTCTGACGAAATGATTTTTAACTACGTAATTTCCAACTTCAAAATTTTCAACTTCTCAATTTATATCCGGTATAGTTCTTTCAATGGCCCCGAAAATCGAAAGTGGAAATTTCATCATATGTCTACGTTTCATGCTTTCTAAAAATTTTGAATGGAGTTTTTTGAAAGATGTTCGTGTGTGTGTGTGTACGTAAGACCATGAGACTTTGGCCAAGGATTTTTCTAGAACGAACGATCCAATTCAAATTTTTTTTACGCCATCGATGCGTTTCTATGCGACTTAGAGCTGCAGATAGTTTCTGCACAATATTGTCTCCACAGGTTTTTCGATTTTTCAATAAAACTAGTTTTTTTTACAAATTCGATTATTTCTCGAAGTAATTATGGGATTTATTTGTTTTCGTTATAATCGATGTGGTTTTGTGTGGCTTGTAGAGATGTGGAATGACCGTCATTTTTCCTTTTGGTCAAGTTAGACATAAATAATCGGTTTCTGACCGTTTTCTAACACTGACTGAATTTTGTATGCAAAATGACCAAAAATCGTCTATATAGTTGCAAATTGACCGTCATTAATATTTCGGCAATTTTTTGGATCATTTTTTAAGGGCTCGATCGGAAAACTTTTCAATGAAATTGAATTATTATCACTTATTATTTTATTTATTAACTATTAAATATTAAAGGCCCCGTTCACAATGATACACTGTTAGAAAAAATCCATGAAATTTCAGATTTTACTAAAAATTTATGAAAATTACAAAAGTTTGAGAATAATGAAGACAAAAGTCTTCAATTTATGCTAATTTTCAATAAAAAAATGAATATTCAGTGCCGAATGACCCGGAATTTTTAAATGATTGAAAATTCAAGAATATGTTTATCGAAATTTTTCGGTTTTCTAGTAATTTTCCGGAATAATTGAGCTAAAATTCAGAGTTCTCATAGATTTTCCCCGGAATTTAGAATTTTCAATGACGAAATTGCTTGACATTTCAATGAAAATTGAATGTGATAAAATTTTTTAACAGTGTAGAAATCGCTGAACTAGTACTCGAACATTGAAGGTCATCTATATAAATGGAAAATGGCGGTCAAAATTTATTCGATCATTTCATGCTTATGGCCTATCGTCATTTTTTTCTAACCATATGGTCAGATTCTTGGCACCGTAATTAGCGATTATGACGGTGGTCATTGACGGTTATTTGACCGGTCATTTTTGCCATCTAGTGGCATGGATAGGAGCGAAATTCCAGCGAAATCGTCTCAGCGGTTACGAAATTATTCCATGATAAATTGTTCGAAAATTTGTAAGGTTTTTTGTTATAAATGAATAAGGAAAGGAATCAGGACGTTGTCGGTTCGACCCAAAATGGGCCACACCCACTTCAACCTACTCTTGCCATTTGGTTTAAACACGACTTGTTTGAGTATATTTCTATTTCTCTTAGAGTGTGAACTCTTTCAGCTGTAAGGAGCTCATGGATTGCTCGAATTCCGCGGATAATACAGATATTACTTGGAAGAATTTCCGACGACGTTTCGCTATTTGCGTTGGTCGCATACTGAACGTTAGATATATTTTCAAATAACTCTATGTAAAATACCTGTGTAAGAGGACTGGTATTGGTAGTAAAAATTCCAAGTAATCCTTTTTCAGTTGCCAGGTCGAGAAGCTCCCTTTCCATTACACTCATGATAATAACATTATCGGCGGGACTGAGGTCAGTATTAGTAGCCATCATATAACAATGAAGAATTTTACCCTTGCCAACTGGCAATTTCGTTTCTCGAAGTGGACTCTCGAGGTACTCTAGGAAATCAAAGACGATTGCAAGTTTCGAGGTGATTACACATTCAGGTTCTTCGTATGCATCAAAGCTCAGTGCTACTCCTAACATAGTTTTCTTCTCATCCGATGCCCTCACAACGAAACTAAATCCCTTCTCCACGAGGGGATCCCAAAGGGCAGCTATTAGATCGTGGTAATCACTTCTCAAAATATCTGGTGCCAGCCACCTCTCCAGATCGGCTTTCAAGTAGAAACTTTCAGTCAATACACTGTAAGAAGAAGACAAGAAAAATCCATCTCGAACCAAGTGATAATTGCTCTATATTTTTGCTAATGGTGGTAGCTGTTATTGCTAGTAGATTAGCAATATGCTTTGGAATGGACAATTCGCACATTATTCTCTTAAAGTGTATCTTCTCATATTGTTATATTGAATTGAATTATGTGTCATTGATCGATATTCATCTGCATTCCATGAAAGAATTCCCTTTCATTTAGTTCAGTAGCGAAGCGGTAATCCGGTTTCGCTCGAAATATGCAAATTTTTCTAGGACGATCGTAAAAAATTATAACGGTCATCTTAGGAGCTGATTTAGATGTAAATGTCGTCGCAAAAAATTGAATTAACCTTCAATTATTCTCTCAGTGAGCGCGGCGCCGCTTCTTTTCGTTTTTTTATATTTTAGCGTGTTTCTTGGCGCTTAAAAATTCTGAAAAAATTAGAGTTCCTAGTTCAAGCCTTCTATTCAGCGTTGGTGTTGTCCGTTTTTTTCTCGGGAAATTTGTTTAGCTAAAAAAAGGAAAGAAACGCCGAACGGATAGACAAGCGGCGCCGCGCCGCCCGGTGCGTGTGAGTCCCTGTCGACTCCTCGAGCGACAGTGTTGCTACATTCACTGTCATACTTGGAATACGTGCATAGCGGTAAGTGCCAAGGTGGCAACAGCGCGCTCGGTTTAACTCAGCGGCGTTGTGTTAACCGTACGACGGATCAAGGCTGGCACCACTGATCGAGGGTTAATTCGTTTTTCCGCTTCGCTACTGAATTGAAGTGGCATCAAAATAATCTTTTTTTACAAAATTATAATTGAATTGATTTCGACCCGTTTTGTTTGAGTGATCGGTGCAATTAAATTTTTAACGGATTCGAACATGCTGAAGATGTTTTTAAAACGCGGTATTAGATCTAAAATTCTTGTAGGAATGAAACGAATGAAAACTTGATCCAAGAGATATTAAAATACATTTTTCGAATCACAGTTAAATCAAATTGAACCATCATGTTTGAATACACCTGTGGAAACCGATTTTAACTGATCTTTTTCACAAATATTCATTTGCTCTATGGAAAAATCATTGTAAGAATTCGGCTATCTTTCTCAAAATTCGAAATATTTCCTAAACATTCATTTTCAGGTGCGATTGACCTACCCTCCTGTTTTAAAACTTCACTACGGAATCATTATTCATATTTTCTAAGGTGAAGATTATAAATTGATTGACTTACTGTGTGACATCTTCTCTATGGGAATGATCCAACATCTCTATGATAAATTTAGATTTGTCCGGATCATTTCTAACATTCTTGCTGTCGGATGTACTGCTCATCATTTCCAATATTTCCATCATGTTTTTTGCTTTGAGGAAATCGGTAATTCCTACCTCAAAACCCTGTTCACGAAGTTTTGTCACGGTGTAAATCGAATTTAATGAGTTTCCTCCGAGTTCGTAGAAATTTCCACTTATGTCCACCGTGTATCGTCCACTGCTTCCGAGAACGGAAGCGACTGTGGAGAAAAGAACTTGTGCTTTGGGGAGTAGTTTTTTGGGAACTCCTGTGTAGTCACAGCTTACTTTTTTGTCAGCATCTGCAACATCATACATTAATCCAGATTAATAACACCGCAAGAGATCCGGATTGGAAATCGATCACAAGAATGTCAGACTTTGGGTATATACTTCGAGTTTGGAATATATTTCATTAGCTCTCCGTTTATTTCTCTTTAAATACAGCACTCCAATTAGGCGAAATCTAAGTGAAAAAAATGGCCCATTGCACAAGTCTAATTCAAATATAGTTTTTTTTGCTAAAAATTAGCAATTTGCTTCCGAATGGATTGATCGAATTGAAACAAAAAAGTGCATTTTCTGTAATTAATTTCAGATTAGTAGGGATCCTTCCTGAAGCTTAACCTCAGGAAAATTCAATAGTTTTTTTAAAAAACAATTTGAGATAAAATTTTTTAGTGAAGTGAATTTATTTTAAATTAGACAGATTGAGTGAAAACAAAATGAATGTAAAATTTGATATTACAAAAGTTCATGCTCCTGATACATCAATGTTGATGTCTCCTCTGCGAAAATAAATTATTTAAATTCTATTTTTTTCCTGAATAGTTTTCCTTAAACTGGACTTAAGACCAGCATAACTTTTTTGCTATTGAATTAACAATTTGCTTCTCAATGGTAAATTGGGAAAGAAGATATACCAGCAATGAAACCTTAACATGATCCCTAAATGTCCCAAATGTCTAACATGAATTCCATATCTACTGGTCAAGCGTCTAACAAACCCCGACTAAATTAAAATTACATTGGTTTAAACTTCCACTGAACATTGATTAAACCTTGATAAAACCTTGGTTAAACCATGATTAACCTCCGACTAAATCCCGACCATAAACCATGATTAAACTTCAATTAAATGCTTTTTAAGGCTATAATTTCAAAGCAAATGCTGCGATCCCCACTATCTTCGAACTCAACCGGGATAACATCCAAGCGAATATTTGAAGTCATAATTAAAAATATTTCGACGATTATTTTTTGCAGGATCGTCGAAAAACTAAATTTGAAAAAAAAGCTCACATAAATACATACAGGGTGACGTCAGCACCTTGTTTACAAATTTCAGGCAGATATAGAATGGAAAATCGGAAATTCAATAGTAAAAAAATTACTAAATCCTGATAATAGACTTTCAAATGGTAAACATTCGAATTTTTTAATACTTTAGACAATTACATTGCGATTGAGTACCGCCATGATTAGAAACGATGATGCAGTTGTTAATGGGATTTGATATGATGGTTAATATGGCTCTTCATGTTGATAAAATTATCGGTTCATGGCTGCAATGAACATTGCTCAAACTATCGCACATAATGGTGCTCCAATTATCGCGCATAATGTCGCTAAAATCATCGCTGTAAATTTCGCCATAATTGGCGTACCATCGCCATTTTCAATTATGGTGACATGACCGAAGCCTAGCATGATGTTATTGGGTAAATCATTGAAAAATTTTAACGCTCACTATTCAAAAATTTGTTATCGTAATTTCATAATTCTTATGCCATTAAATTACTGATTTTCCAAATTGCTATATTTCTTCACAATTTGTAAGCAAGATGCTGACGTCACCCTGTACACATATGGACATGATCTAAAAACAGCACATTGGAACTCTTGAGACCAAAATTAGTCATCGTCACACAAAAAAATGAAAATTTCAGATTTGACGAATACAATGCTTCTATTCGGAAGCAAAAAATGATTCCACATGGAGAGAAATTTTTTAGAAAAATTCTAGTGCTAGCATGGGAAAAGAGGCGCAAAGTGATGGCCAGGAAAAAATTCCAGTGGCGGCACTAGAAATTTTGTTGGGGAACACGTCAAGTTTTCCCCGTATTTCTGTGACAATTTCACAGAAATTTGACTAGAAATACTAAACAATTTTACCTTCACAGCACTAGAATTTTTAACAGCCGGTGGATTGTAATTTTTTCCAGTACTCGTACTAGAATTTTTTTTTATCGTTACCGTACTAGAATTCTTACCCGTAGAAAATTTCTCTCCGTGCAAAATACCACTCGTGCTTCAAAGTTGGGCGGACTTTTTCATCAAGTTTCCCTGGCTTAACCAAAGTGTGCTAAACTTTGTAGAACAATTTGACACATTCTTTCGTCTATAAATGTGCGATCACAATGATGAAGACACAGGACATTTATCTTAATAGAATAAATGGTCATATGAAAATACCGTCATGTGAGCTAAGTTGCTTTATTCTTTCTCTTTTCTTTCTCTATTTCAAAAAAACTCTCTCTTACTCGTACTTCATTCTCAATCAATATACCCTTTGTTCCAAAACATAATCTCACGTCACACCCCACGTAGAAATTTCTCCGCTCAATCTCCACTTGCTACATAAAGGAGTGACATCTAAAAAAAAGGGCTTCTAAATTGACCGACCGACCACTCGCATTCTGATGCGCAATACTTTTTTTGAACAATGAAATATGATCGCGGAAAGTCAAGTAAACAATTTCCAATCAATGTTATGCATTGCAACTATTTATTATGAACAATTTAATTGTTAAAATCGCCCTAGCGCCCAAACTATGAAAGATATGCGAAAATTTTCGCAGCACGAATCATTTAGAATTTGATAAGGAATCATTTTTGTATTTTGTCAATTTCCCATATCTCCTTTAGATATGAGCAAGGAGAGAGTTGCGTAACCCAACTCAGCGCTCTCAAGTTCACCGCGCACCGCAAGCAGAGAGCGCTATGTCGCGTCGCGTAACTAGTTCATTGCTCATATCTCAGCATCTATGAGACGTAAAATTGATAACAGACACAAATTATTCCTTATTAAAGTTCTCTCATTTTAAAGTTCGTATACATTGTTTCTTCGTGCTGTTATTTAAATCCCATCAAATGCGAACTTTAAAATGAGAGAACTACCTTGAGCATCTGAGGAATCACGAATCACCGCAAAGCCAACTAAATTCATCAAATCTGTACATACCACGATCGACAAAATTATGAAACTAAATTTAAAAAAAAATTTCTTTCTCTCGCATACCCTTTCGAGTTTTTACCATTTGTTCCCTTCCCATCCCCCAACCTCCTGTATGCTACGTTGCTACATTCGTTGAAGGACAAGGGAAAACCTCCTTTTAGGGAAAAAACCTGCCCAGGTACAGTCGTCTCTTGCGAGACTCTCGCTCGGCAATGAAAATTGGCCTTGCCCCCCCAGTAGGGAATCGGACCCGAGTCTCCCGCATGCCAATCCCACATTCCAACCACACAGCCACCGCTGTAATACACTGAGAGAAAAATTTCCTAATATATAGACCATATTTACTTGAGAGTAGTAAATAATTTTCAATGGTATAAATTTCAGAATGTTTGCGGTTCACGGAACTCGAATGAATTTTCATTTATCACTATCGTTGCGCATTATACCACGAATACATTACATATCGAAATGTCGGAACTGCGTAACAAAAAAATCACGAAAACAATAAATACTTGAAGATTAACGATTCTTCTACGCGATGAGTGAGTTCATTTGCGACAAAATTATACTTGAGTACAAGAATATTTTAAAGCCCTTCTCAGGCCACAAGAATTACTTGTTTCAAAAAATATGTTTCAGATATTAGAATTTTTTTTTCTCATTGTAATAAATAATTTCAATGCCTAAAATTAATTGAAAATTGTTTACTTGACGTTCAATGATATTTTATTGTTTAAAACAAGCATTATGCATTAGAACACGAGTGGTCGGTACATGTCTGGAAGTCGAGTGTATCCCGCAGCTCTAATAGTCAAGCCGGGGCTGAGCGGTCGGTTCGAGCGCGTGAACGTAATTCAGCCACAGCTCCGCTTGAAATGCTACACGGCACCGACCACCCCCATTCACCCCAAAAAATTAAAAAACTAAACACAACCGGAATAAAACTGACGCATAGCATAGCAAACACTTTTGATTTCACACTCCATTCAAGCGTACCCTGAAAACCATCTTTTTCTTCAACGTAATATTCCTCAAAAATGTATCGTCTCTGATATTTATTAGGTGTGTGACTTAATTTTTACAGATTTTTTAGTAAATTTATTTAATATAAAAAAATAGAGAACAACGCACAGATCGAAATCACCACTTCTAAAATGTTTGTACCAATAATTACACGTTTCATAAGATACAACGTCGGCACCAAGAACACTACATATTAATTCCCGTGCGTTTTTTCCTTGTTGGAATTCGTATAAAATGCAGTGCCGAATGTGCTGTTTATCAGTTGCCATCGTATACTCTGCTATTCTGAAAGGTTATGTAACTTACATAGACTTGTCGTTCCGTGTTCTGAAACCTTTTGTCCGATCCTTTTAAACCCAGAAAAGACAGCGAATATATTTCTATTTTAAATATAATTTTAAGCTCGAAGAAAAAATCTGTAAAAATTAAGTCACACAGCTAATAGTCCATAATGAATCCCTATTCTAAATATCTGACGAGGCAGTGCCGTCTCACTCCTTTATACCACTTCAATAGTTCCTTCTCATCACAACATCCATATCGATTCGGCATGAAACGAAGCTATCGGAAAATACTTAATCATTTCGAAACACTGGCAGTATTACTGCTGAATGTTTCGCAGCGTTTAAGATAATGATAATTGTTTCTAGGTGATTCATTACCGTTATTTAATTAATTGAAATAAATTTCAAAGTGGAAGTTGCTCCTATCTCTCCGAAAATAATAGGGGAGAGTGGGGCAAAATGAAACAGTCGAAAATACCGCTGTTTGACGTAATTTAACCCAAAACATTTTTTTATTAACTATTTTTTAAAATAATTTTTGTTGATTAACTTTTTTTTATTAGTGGAAGTACTGATTAGAATAATAATTTTCCGTAGAATAGAAAAAAAAATTATTTAGAAAATGATTGAGAAGTTTTGATGCGAGAAGATTTTGTCAACAGATTAACTAAAAAAAGAAAATGAAACAGCAAAATCCAACGTCCAGAGGAAGGCCCATGGGGAGACCCAGAGGGGGAAAAAGGAAAATATGATACTGAATTTCAATCGAATGAAAAAAAAGTGTAATCGGCCTAATCTAATCAATTGAATTATAAGACGAATACAAAATTATTATGAATTGTGTCGAATTGCTTGAATTGTGTCGAATAGTCGTTTTATGGCTGTTTCATTTTTCTCCAACCTCCCCTTTTTTTATTTTGATAGCTGGCAAAATCTCTCTGTTAATTTATTCATATACCTCATTTTGTTCAGTGATTATCTCAATGCATTCTTCGGCATGAACACTGAGAGAAAAATCGACATAATATGACAAAAATATTCCTTGAGTGGAGACCATCGCATGCATATTCAATCAATTCATGGTAGATTCTAGACAAGAAATCGGTACTCTTCGGGCTAAAGAAGGATGATACTGAATCAAAAAATGATTTTTTTTTCTGGAAATTAGATAATATTCCTGTAGAGACAAAGTAAGTTTGAGAGAAGGAGTAATATGTTTCGTCATTAGACCGAAAAACCCCATTTTTGTGGCGCTGCGCGCCACGAAATTGGCGTTTTGCAGGTCCCTCGACTAGAGATGCGAAATGACCGTCATTTTTGTGATTGTGTCATATGACCAAAAAATAACGGTGCTGTGACGGTCATGTGACGTCCCGAAATTTCTAATGGCAAATAACGGTTACAAATTTTTTGTGACCGTCACAAAGAATTTTTGGCCGTGAAAAGAGTAAAATAGTAATTTCCGTTACCAAACCATCTATATAGGTGCAAAATAATCGTCATAAATATATTGCTTTTTGTGACGGTCATATAATTTCTATATAATTGGCATCGTTTATTCGTTCAATTTATTATTGATTATCAATTATTGTTTATTATAAGGTTCTTATGGATGACTTGAAATGTATGTGTACAACTGTACTACAACAATTTTTTTTAATTATAAAATTATGAAACATGTGCTTACACATATATTTTTGCATACTCATGAGAGAATGATTACACTTTTCATCTTTGGAACAAAATAAACGAAGTCAAGAGTTCTAGATACTAAAGTAAGTAAACAATGTCGAGAGTTCTAGTTAATTAGAAAGAAAAATAGATGAACAAAAAAGTATTTCATCTATATAGATGCAAAATGACCGTCACAGTTTTTCGCCAATTGTGACCGTCATGTAAAAATTTGTTGTGACCGGACCGGCGGTCGTTGGGGTCTTGTCATGTGACCGTCATTGACGGTCACATGACCACTTTATGACCGGTCACATGACGCCTTCGCATCTCTACCCTCGACACAAAAATTAATATACACACCTCGCCATGGAAAACATATCACCCTCTCCCACGTGCTTGCCATCCTCGCCTTCGGCTCGGAAGGCAATCTTGCACGTGGGGGACGGTGATCTGCTTTCCAAGGCTCGGGCATGTAATGTACTATTCTGTACTGCTTCTCACGATTTCTCGTCTGAGAATTGGTATTGCATACTTCGCAAACTCGAAAACTGGAAAATCACTACCGTCGATGTACCAGTAGATGCCACTGTGCCAGTTTCTGCCACTTTGAGCACATTTTCAGGTATATCAAAGTGCAATAATTCTTGGACTCCACAGTGCTCACCATGAATCTCTAGAGCAATCTCTCTCGCCCCCTGTCATCAAGAATTATCACTTTTGAACTGCGAAAGGTATTTTTTATTCAACCGGAAAGTGTGAAAGACACGCTGGACTCAATAAAATGGTAGTGGCTCTCTCAGAGAGGTTAAAATGTACAGTTTAGTTTTCGTTCATATTCTTCAAAATGTAAATATTAAATCATTACAAAATTGTAGTTATCTGTCAGGAATTGATTGCTAATTCATATACATTCGTTGAACATGGATGAAATCACCTTTTTAACACGAAAATATGAGTGGCAATGACTGGCTCCTTCGAATGAGCCCTCGTTCCAGTTAGTGCCACTCGTGTGTCTAACCTTCCAATCTCCCTAAACTTTCGTAAAAATATAAATCGACACTATGTAGTTCGAACCAAATGTTGATTAACTTTATTTTGATGTTTTGGAAAATGATAAAATTGATTGGGAATGAATTTATATACAATATTTTTATTTTTCGCTAGGACCAAACTGAACAACCCACTCCGGGGGCCAAAATACACAGAACTGTCGTTGACAAACGCTTTCATTGAGATCAAGACTGGATCTCCAGTTGCTACTGTTGCTAAAAAATACAACATTCCTAGAACTACTCTAAGGTACAAGAGAATCGATGGGAGATCGATCGCATTAAAGTCTTTTTGATTTATGGAGGAAACTGAAGGGAACTGAAAATGCGTCACAAATACCAAAAAAACCTGAAGAATAATTTTATTTATTATGTTTCCTATTAAGTATAACCTATGAAGGGAAGTTTTGTAATAGTTTACTGAATAAATAATTATTTCATCCATTCACAATGATTGAATGTGATTTAATAATGTAGCGGCACTAACTGGCTTTTCGCCATGGCAGAAACTGGGACAAGCCGTTTTGAGGGTGGCATAAACTGGCGCACGCGGGTCTTTTGTTCAAACTTCAATTTAAATCAATTTTTCTATATTTAGGGATGAATAATATGTTGAATTCAAAGATAAAACTATAAACTTGCTCCTGAGTCAACAGGATTTCACCTAGCATTGAAAATATACATAACCTACGTATTATACTAGCGGACACGGCTCTAGGTGGCATTAACTGGTATATCGACGGTACAAAAAAATCTTGTCCCGGGCTGCTGCGATGCGTTTTTTTACTCGTGTGGTTGGCCAGTCCTCGCTTTCGGCTCGGACGCCAACGCCACACGAGTAAAAAAACCCATCGCAGTAGCCCAGAAACATACTATATTGCTTTCCTTCGAACTCATTGCGGTTGAGAGCAAATGATGGTTATGTTTTAGAAATATCTGAAGGTTCTGCCCTGCATGAATTCTGTACTCATTCAATATGAAGGCCCCAGACCCATGATTCACAAAATCGGAGCTTTTATTTTTAGCAATTTTCTCATTTTTTGACGCAAAATGAACGATTTCTGGCGGCAAGAAATATAAGTGATATAAACCTCCCACTCGCAAAAAAACACTTTTTTACACTCGTTACGAAATATACTATTATATGATAAGTGCGTGATGAAGTTTAGTGGTGGAGGGGGGGTGTGGGGGGCGAAGCCCCCCATGAGAAAAGGCGGTCCAGGGGGCGAAGCCCCCGATGGGGGGGGGGCAGTGGAAAAAATATCACATCTATTTAAAAAAGTAATTATAGAAAAGTGTGATTGAAAAATTTCATTTTCGTTACTGAATTCTCAACAACTTATCACTAATTTCTAGAAATCAATCACCAAATTTCAGTGAAGTTTCGGTGAATTCTGTGACATGTCTCTGAAAAGCAAAAATAATTTTTCTCTGTGTTTCCTTAATATTATTTTGATCATTAGAATTCAATAAAGCCCTTAAGTTACAGTATTTGATCGAAGGAGTTTTTGGGGATCCTGCTGTTGCTTCATTGGAAAATATTTCATTTCCATTTTCTTCAAATGGCACATCACCAATCAACTCCTCCTCATCAGTAAATAAATCCTCCTCACTGCCTAACTTTTTATCACTATCAGGAATTATACGATTTTGGCTCATTTTAACTGCTTTGAAAATCACCTTTTCATTTTTCAGTCATTCCATGTATTCACTATTCAGAGGTTAGATTTCCTTCCTTGCATTCTCTTTTAATAGGTGATGCGGATGCGCGTCATGCGTTATTTCGGGTTTTAGTTGAGTGTGGGTAGGCGCTCGAAACCCGCTACTTTCCAGTTGACTATAGTCAACTGAAACCCGCATGCGGTTACACGTACGTATCATATAAAAAATGTAATAGAATGATTTGTTCCTTTAACGGAAAAACCTACCTCTGTTACAACTCGATGTTTCATACATTCTCAGTAACGTCTGTCTGTCTGTTTTCCCATTGAAAAGTAGCGGTATATTTTCTAGAACAATGACTTGAGGAATCATGTACGATGGTAATGTACTCTGCAGGTAGTTTTCAATTTGTAAACCAGATGCACAACTTCCTGCCTTTAGAGTTACGAATGTAATTAACGCCTGAAATAGTTAGCAATTAATGAATGTTGGTCACTGACTAATAGAGGAATTAAATGATTCATCCAATTAATTACGGGATAATGCGCAAATGAAAACGACGTCTTCATTATACCTGTGATATCTCCCCAGGTTTGTGACACAGTACAACGGCCTTATCCACAGTAGGGACGGCGGCAACGGATTTTTCAACTTCCGCAAGATCAACCCGATGTCCTCGGATCTTGATCTGCGAGTCTGTCCGTCCTTCATAGATAAACATTCCTTTCACGATTCTTGCATAGTCACCGGTGCGATAGATCATTGAATATTCTGCGTGAATGATAAAAAAAGAAAAAATGAATACAAATATAAAGGTATCAGTTACATTAGTCAGGATCTAAGTTCAAGAGCAGAGTTAGAGAAGGCCAGAGTATAGAGTACTCCCTTCCTTGGGAATCCACAACAACTTTCCCATGATTCATTCATAGTTGTCAACTAGTAGTGCAATTCGATACCATGTGCCATTCATGACTTATTGGTGTCAACTGCGTAAAATGCAATGAGATTCTGACATTTCAATCATCTGAGAAATCTATTGAATATGTTGCTGCCTTATTGCAATTATAAAATTACTTATTTGTCGGCATTCCAAATTAAACCACTCAGATTCCAGTAACACAACGTTAATACTGCGAAAAATAAAATCCCGAGGCTTTTGAGGCTATTATCACAATCATTAGAAAAAGTTTAAAATACTGCAGCAATTGTCAAGCAGTAAAAATTCCCCGCTGACATTAAAACTGAAAATTCATAATTATAATGCGATTTTGTCGTTTTATTTAATGCTGTGTCGCATTGTAAAATCATGGCCAAGTGAGTGGAGAGTACCAATCTGCAATCTTTGCAGAATAGGGCTCACAAGGCAATTTATTGGAACAATCGTGAAACAGTTGCGTTTAGTTACAAGGCCAATATTGTTAGATGCATTGTACCATGGTTTCCGGTGCGTCAACGAAGACTCATTAGTATTCAAATTAATTAACTGGATAATAATGGGTTAATTTTGTGTAACAAGTCCTTGACTTATCATGGGTTTAACGAAGCCACCGGTTGATGTCCTCTGTCTATATTTATGTGTGAAATCTCCGCTCGACTGATTATGTTGATTATTCTGTTATGGTTATTCCCACTTTTTACTGAAACCGAATTAGGCCAAGGTAGCCCTGCCGAGTTATGCGGAAGCGAAAGTTGATGAAGGATTCGTCAATTAAAACTCTAAATGATGGAAATTACTGCATTTTTTTTCAATTTACCTGGGTCAATGGCATGAGGGTTGTTGACAAATTTGTGGGGATCTCGTCCGCGGATGTAACCCGCGGCTAAATTTCTACCTGCCACCACTAATTCACCAACATCTCCCTGTGCCACCAAACGAAGGTCTTTATTCACCAGATAAACGATACAGTTATCTAAAGGCCGTCCTGTAATGAGAAAAAACATGCATTTATATGAATACATCAGCATAAATTACAAACAAGTTCAATATCAACAGTATAAGTATTTGCTGTACCAATGGGCACTTTTTGGATATCTTTTAATTGACTCGGTTCATTTAGTAGGTGATACGTGACATCGCCCATGACTTCAGTACTTCCGTAGAAATTTGCAAGTGTATGCTTGAACGTTGAAAATTTTGTGAAGAATTTTTGGGCCAATGACTGCGAGAGAGTTTCACCGGAGCATATCCAGAGTCGTAAAGATTTCAACATTTCGATATCATTCTGGAATAAATATTTCATCAAGTAATGACCCCCTAACAGATTAATTGCTCAACTTACACGAATGTCGAGGTACATGAGCATTGACTGAAGAAGAGAAGGTACAAGAACAAGTCTCTGGATCTTATGCTTCTCGAGAGTATTGATAAATCTCTCTGGATCCTTGGTAACTTGTTTCGGAACAACAATGATCGTTCGACCTTGAAGAAGAGGTCCCCAAATTTCGGGGGCACTGTCGACAAAAGTTAGAGCCGTTTTGAAAATACAAAACTGCTCATCATCCCTAAAGGGCAGCTCTCTCCACTGCCACTGGAGACGATTGATTAAGGTGGCATGGGGTAACCTGACCCCTTTCGGCACTCCGGTGCTACCAGACGTGTAAAGGACTATGGCAAGTTGTTCAGGATCTTCATTGTGATCGAGCGACTCGTCAGATTCGTTTACAGACTCTTCCCATAACTCGTTAAGAGTTGACACTTGTGTTCCTTCGTAAATTGATTTGCAATCTGCAAAGAAAAAAGTATAGTCTCATTGAAATTCATTCCATGATCAATCTAGGTGCAATAGTTTACAACTGTTGCAACAGAAAATATGGAGTATGTTTATTGTGATTATTGCTGTGAGGAAGAATTGCTAATTGATGACCAGTTGGCAGGGTGGAGACGGTGACCTCGAGTGCATTGTTAAATAATCTAGGAAATCATATCCTTCACATAGTGAATGTTCCTCCAGGGTGACGATTAACTCTGCATCCTAGTCCAGAAGTCATAACAAGGTTTTTCCGTATTGCTTATCGATATTTTCGCAAATATTCTGTCACTTATTGTGTTAAGAGTGACGTTGGAAATTCAATTAAGATAACTACCTCCGTCAATGATGACCATGAGCGGTTCCGATTCCTCCAGAATATGTTTGACTCTTGACGCGGGAAATTCTACATCGAGTGGTAGGTAAGCCATACCAGATTTTAAGATTGAGAGGAGAATAATTGGGAGATTATGGGAAGGTTTCATAGAGACAGCGATGATTGAATCCGTCTTCGTAGAAGGCTTCGATAACTTCCTCAGGGTTCTTGCCAATCTATTCGTTGATGACTCCAACTCTTTGTAGGAAAAGGAGTAATTTCCCCCGTTTTCATCTGTATCATAACAAGATTGAGTATTAAATATTCGTAAATGGATACAGATTTTATTCAAATTTTGAATAATTACCTTCATGAATTATGGCTGCTTGTTCTCCACAATTCTTGGCAACCTCTTGGAAAATCCTGTGTACAATATTATCTTTATCTTTCCAACTTATGTTATTCCCCTTTAGGACTGAGTGTTGCTGCAGTGAGCCCATCTGTTAGAAAAAGAGATAAATTATTCAATTGAGAAATTGTACTTGGTCTTTGATGATTACCACACATCAGACGTTGGAAATAATCAATCAAACATATTTCATAAGAGGAAAATTGATAGTTTTTAGTCTTCTCACACAGTTTATCCTGTGGAGACTTTTTTTCGTAGAAATCCAGCACAGATTTCCTCAGCTGTTTCCACTCATTTTTTTGCTTTTCGGTTTTTTTATCATTCACGGTTTTTCGACGCATTGTAACGACCAGTTTACTGATTTCACCTTGTTTCAGTGAAATCAAATACTCGAAACGTGGCTCTCATACTGCCGACCTACACTATTCTCTGAAAAGACGTCCTTCAATTGCGTCATGCATAGCCTTCAAAAACTCATTAATTACAATGAGAAATAGAATAAAAGTTACAATTTCTACAAATATTTGTACATTTTGGGCAAAGACAATTGGACAAAACAGTTGGCGAACCATTAATAGCAAAATAATATCAATTCTTTTTTTTCATTATGAGAAATTTGCTGTAGAACTATCTGTTAGAAATATGCTTAAACAATGTTCTATATTGAGTTAAAAATTCATCTTTCTGACAGACGGAGAATGATTGATTGCTGAAGTGATGAAATAAGATCTAGTCAGTTTTTGTAAATTACCTAGAAGTTGAGGGGACATTGCGGAATTTTTATTGTGATCTCGTCGCAGACCAATGTGAGATCTTCGAAAAGAATATCTTGATAAATTTGTCATCTCTATTAAATGAAAAAATGTGTGAGAAGTGTTATACTACGACTTAGCTACCAAATTGATGAAAGAAGGTCGAAGACGAAGAACACTTTTTTGAGTGGAATATTTAGACGGAAGCCACGAACAGTGGGATCAAAATTCTGCTGATGCATTCATTATGAACATATTCTAGTCCTATCGGATGATCGATAGATTTCTATTGGCATACAATCAGAAAAAACAAAGCATTCCTTCAGAAATCTAAAATGAATTTTGTTCACAGCCGATTCGATCATTATGATAGTGGATATTGATGAAATATTTTCCTTCAGGAAATGTCACACACGGATGAAAAAATCTAGTAAAGATTTCTTGACAAGACATAGTCGTGTTGCAAAATGCTCTTTTGGAAATTTGTCATTTAAATTCAGAAAATTTTACGTAAAAATACTGTAAAATTGCATAGTGAAAGATGATTTTTTTCTTAATTTAGGAATTGTAGAGATATATCGAGTGAAAAATTTTTTTTGCGTGATGTATTACGTTTTAGAATGTAATTTCTTACGTGGTTTCTAAAATACTTTTTCTGAGAGTGCTTTTTGCTTATGTGATATTCTTCACTAATTATAAATTACGAATGGACGTCGGTGAGATTTGAAAGTGTTCGGTAGAGGTAGGAATCCTTTGATGTATTACTGATAGACTTTTGATATATGATGGCATATGTTAAAAAGTGGGAAACATGATGACCACAATCGATTTTGTCCTATCCGAACTTTTGCTTCACTTTACGCACGCTTTTGAAATTTACGCACTCGTGCAGAAAAACAACCATATTACCCCCACTACCGTTCCGAACAATGAACTCGGCAGGTACCACAAAAAATAGGATGTGTTACGCGTGCGTGTGAAAAAGTGGAACTTTACGCGCTAGTAACACAATACACTCTTTTCTATTTTTCCGGTTATCCAGTCAATGGTAATTAACGAATAACGATGCGCTGCAGAGAAGATTCTCTTATATGGTGACAAATCTAGGGTTAACCCTAGTCTGGTCACGCTATACAGCCCAGTGACTTGGTCACCTCTGCAAGAATGTGCCGCCGTGTTATTTAGGCTTTAACATTGCCGAATTCACTCTACATTGCCCGAGCACGTTTAGTGAGTTTCTGGCAACGTTGCGCGACGGACTATTTCATTTATCATGGGGGAAACAAATTCTGTTGGAAATAATCAATTTTCTTTTGGAATTTTGAAAATTATGTGGTTCTAAAATCACTACAATGTGTTGTACACTTCAATTGAAGAAGTCACATTTTTTTTCAATTTTCCGGTTATCCAGTGAATGGTAATTAACGACAAGCGCCGTGACGATTCCCTCATATGGTGGCCAATCCAGAGTTAACCCTAGTCTGGTGTGTAAAGCTTCGCTTTGCGCACTCGAAATTCACTTTACGCACGCTCTTGAACTTTACACACTAGTAACGCAATATACTATTTAGACACTTCAATTGAAAACGTCAATTTTTTTTATTTCTCCGGTTATCCAGTCAATACATCTAACAAAGAACGACATGCAACGGCGTTTCCCTTATGAATTGACAAAAAACGAAAACCGAATAACAGAAAAAACTACAAAAATTGGGTTTCCTTAATTTTGTTCTTTGGAGTCAGAGGAAAGTTTAAAAAAATAAAAAAAACTATGTCCATCGCATGAAAGTTGTGGTGTAAGGATTATTTAATAAGTCTTAACATTTCCCATCATCATATATCAAGAGTCACGGACTGAGCCCCCAGCTCTACCGAAGACTTTCAAATCTCACCGACATCCCCCCTAGCCATCATTTGCCTCCACAAAGGACAACCGAGTGATTTGCAAAATCCTTGTTGGTTGCCAAGAATATATAGAGAAACTCTCTTTCAGCGAACGAGCGGTTTCGTCAGAGATTTCTCCCGGGCATGGTTTTATAGGACTACAATATATTCAAAATATTTGCAGTAGTGTTCAAAGTTCTCACGCAAACTATTCGTCAATAGTTCAATGTACCAACTGGCTTATCACATTAAACCTAATGGTGCTGCTCGCTACAAAGAAAAGGTTGACCCGAATTTTATAATGATGGTTGTATAGGTACGTTCAAAGAGTTGTTACAAAACCAGAAAGGCAGGTGCGAGAGTAATTGACCACGTACACGTGCTACCCGCAGACAGAAGCGCAGTGAACTTTTTCTCAGAGATTATTTTCCCCGGTTATGAATAATTATATTTTTGTTAAATATGCGGGTATTTGATATTCTATCTGCAATGAATGTACATTTTACGTAAGCGCAGTTAATGAGCACGAAAACAAAATTCTGGCATCTAACAAATTTTCTTTTGTCTCATATCATAATGCTCTATAAAAAAAATTATTGTGATCAAAACGCAAGTCAAATTATAAAGCCAAAAAACTTTGTCCTTACAAATGAAATTTTGGCTGCCATCAGTGAAAACTCTTGCGAGGTTTTATTAACAAAAAAAATTGTTTAGTCAAGTAGAGATATGCTGTGGCGAGCTGTGATTTTTCCTTTGTGAATAAATTTAATAATCTCACAAATGTCACCATGATCGACAGCTGACATGAGGCAAATTGTGAACAATATAACAATTTTAATAAATATGATTCAACTGACCGCTTATGCTCGTGATTATATCTGATTTTTCTTGGATGAATCGCTCTTTAACTCTTTTAAGTCACTCACGTTTCCACACTTCCTCGAATAAATTGCCAAAACCTTTTGAAATCCGTCTGTATGCAGATTATCCACGTTTCACTTTTACTTTTTTTGAATAGCTATCACTTTCACACGATACGAACAATGGCAATTTGCAATATAGATACGATAAACGTGTTTTATCTTGATATTTAGGACTGATAATTTTGACTGATGAGTATATTTTCGTATATTTCTCGACGTGAACTAATTGTGTAGGTGATCAACGAACTGGTTCCCGTTAGTGAGTGTCTCCTTTCGACTGTATAACGCGAGCTTTTATATGGCACTGGCTTCGGGAGACCCCAGATTATTCACTGGTATCGCCCTTCTATTCACGCTATCTAGCTTGATGGCCAAGTGCATTGTCTTGATTGTAGTTTTCCAATTGACAGCACACTTTCGTTAATTTCTTCCGAATAAATACTACCGCTTTCGATGATTTTTAGGGTGACGAATAAAGCATATTACTCCTGCGATTTTCTCTTGATTGAAGCTGAGATTTTTATCATCAAAGATAATTCTCTAGCACAGTGATAAAACGTAGCTAGTTGACTTTTCACATTCTTGTGAATATCAAATTATCACGATAATGAGTGATTTTAAAAGAGATGTTGGGACATCTTCATAGAAGATTTTCTAGACTACGAAAAATTCTCTGAGTTTATTTTAGAACGATCTAGTTTCATGATAATTGGACAATTAGTAAAACAGTGTTAATGTATGTCAAGACAATTCAAAAATTTATATTTAACAATTTATTGATTTTTTTCAGACCCAATAGCCGGAGCATATGACAGAATTAATTATTATATTAATGAAGCAGTTAATTAATGGATGGGAACCAGGTTCAGAGGGTGGGAAACTTGGAATATTGCCTGGCTGAAGTTTCAGCGAAGTCTGATTTTTATCCAAGAAGCCTCGAACAAGTGTGTTCATTTTGTTATTGGGTAATAATACAACCAATCATCCAATTGTACCTATCACCCAAATTGTACCGGAGCTACAATTCTCCTCTGCAGTGAATTCTATCATTCTAGAATATTCATCTGGAAAAATACTCGTTTCAAGCGGTATAGACTTGAACACTCACAGTAATTTACCTCGTACAAGCCTTTGAGAATGGATTATCAAATCGATTCCGCATTTAATAATAATCGTCCTGACTTCGAGGGTTACTGGTGAGGTAATGAAACATGAGATTATCTCAAAGAATTACTCACTAGGTACACTGAGAAAAAAATTCCTAATATTTAAAACATATTTACTTCAGACATGTAATTTTTTTTCAATCAGTTAATTCTCCTCGTCACCTAAACTCACGTTACCCGAGAAAGGTCTCATGCTTTAAAATATTCTTGTGTTCAAGTATGATTTTGTTGCAAATGAATTCACTCATATCGCCTAGAAGAATCGCGAATCTTCCAGTATTTATTGTTTCCATGATTTTTTTAATGCATCTCCAATGTTTCGATATGTAATATATTCATGATATAACGCGGAACGAAAGTGATAAATGAGGATTTATTCGAGACCTGTTAAGCGCAAACATTGTGAGATCAATGCCATTGAAAATAATTGACTTCTCTCAAGTAAATAAATATGGTCTACAATTAGGAAATTTTTCTCTCAGTGTAATAGAATATGACTATGTCACTCTGGATTGAAATCAGATGGAATCAATTCTGAAATCACTTGCGATAACGAAATCAACGAGATGAGAAATTTTATTTTTGTCATTCCGACCATGAGGGAGCGATAAAAAAAAAGTTATTTTAGGCCTCATGTTGAAATACACATTGTTAAAAATTTTCGTCTGAATTTCTCGTGCCAAATTCCGGTAAAAATTTTTATCGTGTTCAAGTTCCACTGAAGTTTCTGGAAATCTTGTCATTAAAAAATCAAATATTCCATTGATTTTCTGTTCAAATGATCTGAAAATGAATAAAATACTTGATTTTTCAGTTCAATTATTCTGTGAAAATTCAGAAACATCAGGAAAATTCAGGGAAAAATTGAAAATTCATGTCATTTTGTTTCTGAATATTCATGTTCCACTGAAACCAATCCGGGGCCGAATTGCCGGTGCTGTTGAATCGGCCTAGAATTGGCATGCCAAGCCTTGGCGACCCACTCACGGCCAAACATCGGCTTTGAACTGGCATGCCAAATTTCGGCGACTCCTTCACGGCCAAGTGTCGGCTGAACGCCAAATGGCCATTTGTCGAATCCCAAGTCTCGGCCAATAATTGGGTAAACTTCGGACGCCGAGACTTGATAAGGGTCAAACAGGAACGACAAGTTAATCAATTTTAAGGGTCAAACTTCCATTAGGGTCACTGTTTAGCAGAGAAACTGAGCGTAATATTCCAACGGGCCAAACCCTCACAAGGGTCACGGAGTTCATAAGGGTCAAATAGGGGTAATAGTAAATCAACTTGTAAGGGTTGGAGGCTTTTATAAAAGGTCGAATGATCATAGCGGTCGGATGGGTCATACAGGAAAACGTGTAAACAGATGCTAAGGGTCATGCAAGCATAAGGTATGTAAGGTTCAAACTCGAGACCTTAATGCTGTAGTCTTATTATTTATTGATCATAAATAAATAGGCTGTTTACCATATTTATATTGAGTTTCATAATTAAAGAAAAGTAAAGAATCAGATAAGAATACCATATTTTATTCATACAGCTGATAAACTTCTTCGTAACTAAGAGAGGGGTAACGAGAGGGTAAAGTCAAGGTCTAGCAACCCGAAGGTACCAGGATCAAATCCCGACGAGTCCAATTTTTCACTCATCATTATCAGCGGTTCTTGGTTTTTTTACGATTAGCTGCAGAATGTAAATTGAATCATAAAAAAATGATGCATTAATTAATTTTTTCAACTATTAAAAATGAGTATTGGGTGGGTCACGGGTGCCGATCTTTGGCCGCTGCGCGGCAACCAATACCGGCCCAACGTTATCAAACCAATAGCTAGCCGAGGCTGGGCCAAGGCCGATTGAGGATCGGCACCCAAGACTCGGCAGCTCGGCTGCCACTACTGGCCCAATCTTGGCCCGTTTTACTTTTCCTTCCCGGGAGGTTGTGAAATTTCCATCTCACTCCCACTGAAAATTCATGAATTTTCGTGCATTCTACTCAAGACTTGAAATTTCATAAATATTTTTTCCTTAAATCCGATTCAATGTCAATCTCATGGGAATTACTATCATATTTTCCACAAAATTTCAAAACATTTCTAACAGTGTATTTGAAATGACTGAAAAAGAAAGGAACATTTATTGTTCATTTAACACCCGTTATTTATCAAGTATAGTCTACCGGCAGAGATCCTCTCTTCATAACAATATGAAAAAAACAAAATAAAAAAAGACAATTAAGAGAAACTGGGGTGAAATAAGACGACGGGATCAATGGACTTCTCTGTTTTTTCTTTTTTCAATGACACAAATGAGTTCAGTGCTTTTTTCGATGTAATATTATCTAACAAATCAAAATGAAAAGGGAATTTCTAATGAAGAAAAAGCAGTTTTGCTTAAAAATATGTCTAATCGTCGTTATCCGAAACACTCAATTTTTATGGGAATGAGATCATTTCAAATCGAAAATTTGAAATCATTTGAAATCACTTCAAAATCATTTTGAAATCAGCAATCATTGCGACACGATATTCGACAGTGAATGACCCCTCGGATTATTTCGTAAAGCCATACTTGAATTTCTAAAGAGAACAAATGAAAATTAAGATCGCGATTAGATTTGAAGATCGATTAGATTTGGAATCTTGGGGTTAGACGAAATTTGAAAAAGAAAACTGATAATAGGGAACGCAAGTTCATGCAAATGAAGCTCAATTCTTTCGAATTCTACTATGTACACATTTCTCATAATATATGAATACCTAAATGGCGAAAAGTATGGATGTATATTGCCTAAATGTGTTATGATAATTAATTGAAAATCAGTTGCTTTTGAGGCCAATTTTTTGGTCATGACATAACGAAGACGGTTAGGTAACACTCGTTGGTCGAAAAAGAAAAGACTGAGTTGTTCTTCATTGGCCGAGGCATATCTTAAGATTGGGTTAGATCGGCTGGAGCCATTCTGTGATTGGTCCAGCCCTCGACCGTCTGTGTGACGTCATTAGCGATTTCAAAGCGTTTGAAATCTTCAACTTTTAACAATTAATTATCTCTCTATATAATAAAAAAGTAGCTTTCGTCTAACGCTGAAGAATTTTCAGGGGTCATGAGGATCCCGGGGGTCATAAGGGTCAGAAGGGTCACAAGAGTCATGTGAAATATAAGGATCATATGGGTCACAAGGGTCATAAGAGTCATACGGGACCTAAGGGTTATAAGGGTTATCTGGAACCTGAAAGTCATAAGGGTCATACGGACCCTAAGGGTCATATGGGTCATATAGACTACAAGGGTCATAAAATAGTATTCGTGTAACACTGAAAAATTTTCAGGGGTTATGAAGGTTCCGGGCGTCATAAGGGTCAGAAGGGTCATATAGGCACTAAGGGTCACAAGGGTCATGTGGAACATAAGGGAATTCATATGGGTCCTAAGGGTTATAAGGGTCATATGGACTCCAAGAAACATAAGGGTCATATGGGTCCTAAGGGTTCTACAGCTCATAAAGATCATAAGGGTCATATGGAAAATGAGGGTCATAAGGGTCATATAGACTATAAGAGTCACAAGAGTCATATAGGCTATAAGGGTCACAAGAGTCATATAGGCTATAAAAGTTACAAGGGTCATTCGGACCATAAGGATCATATAGGCTATAAGGGTCACAAGACACAAGTTCACACCCGCAAGGTCGCATGGGGCGGGAGGGAGCGAGCGAAACGAGCGGGGGGGGGTAAATAAAATTAAACTAATCGTGTTTCTCTCTTCCTCTCTCCTTAGAAGAGGGGGGGGGGGAAGAATCCTTACGGTCACACCCACAAGGTCGCATGGGGCGGAGGTGAGCGAAGCGAGCAGGGAGCGAAGCCCCCTAGTTAATTAATGAGCAATATTTCGAACGGTTGTCAATGAAAAATGAATCATTCAGGTCCTAAACTTGAGATTAGAAAATTGAAAAAGATTCATGCAAGTTTCCTATTGAATAAAAATTCTTTAACACATGATTCAATCCATTTAAAAACTGTGTGTAGAATACCAAAAACTGCATATACAGTATAACGATGGGAATAATTTCTAAAGTTGCTACTTATACACGGGGTTGAATGGGGCATCGATAATTGTACCGAGGAATAACGTGAAAAAGATGCTAAAATGACCCGTTCAACCGCGTGTATAAGTAGCAACTTTAGAAATTTTTGTCCATTATAATCGTATAGATCGGGTTTTATATGAATCTATACATAACAATTAACAAGTAGATTACATGAATTATTAGGCCGTGAATTTTATATCACGATGACGTTGCACATTATACATAATAATCATGACTATCATGTTATGATATGAATCGTAGAATTTGTAACGATTAGCCAATAGCAATTGATGATATTCTCATAATTCATTTCCGCAAATATTAAACAAGTGATGATAAATCATCCGTTGTCAGTGAATGATAATACTTGAAACTTAATTGATAAAAATTAATGAATCATTAAGCAATTTGTAAGGAGGCTATTAATCACCCACTACACTGGAGGTGATTTTATTCTATTTACCTGAGTTATTCACTTCGATTGTGTTCCATTTCATTCACGAGAAACTGTGAGTGGGGAAATACCAAGTGCGTATTCATGACCTCAACTGGTTCCCGTTACATTCGCAGCACACTGACGTGATTCCCCTTTCATTAATTTACCTCTGCCATTCGTGGATATCTCGGTGAAAAAGTGTTGTGTCAACAGAATAAAAGCCCTTGGGAGATCCCCTTAGCAAAGAATTTAATATTTCTTTACTACTTAGAACATTGATTTTTAAGTTGATGATGGTCAGCAGATGAGATTCAATAGAAAAATATTCTATTTTTTTCCAACTATTGAATTATTACATTTTCCATTATTCAATCACCACTCATCAGCTAGAATCAACGCTCATTATTTGAAAATGTTGCTATATTTAATTACCAGTTCAATAGACGTTTCTATGAATGATAATCGAGCCATTTAGCTCTTCTACAGATACTCGGATAAAAAATGTATGAAGAAAAAGTATGTACGATTTACGACCATAACCGAGCACTAAAGTCAGATCATATTTTGCTTGCATAATGGCTGATTAAGAGTGTGATTGGGTCAAGTGGTGAGAACAATAGCCAACAGCCACTCAGTTAGGTGTACTTCCGTTACGTTCTTCAAGCCGTCATATCCGCGGTAAAACTTTTTGTACATTATTTTTCTCCCTCATCCGCCTTACCGGATGTTCATCGATTCATTGTCACAAATTCCAGATGCTTCACGAGCGTCTAATCAACGGTAACTCCCATATAATTTTATGATCAATTGTAAATATGCAAAGATTTTTTACTTCTATTACGAATAGTTATAAAAAAACGAATGAGAAATTAAAAAGAATAACGATCATTAATGAAACGTGTTAACGATTGAGTTATGTAATTTCTGTAAGTCCTGAAGCCTACGCAAATTAATTAGCAATACGAATCTTTTCTGTCAGAGGTTGTAATAAACTGTTGGGTTGAAAAGTAGGGAAGCAAGAAATTGATTCTATAGATAGTTTATTATGCCTCGATTGATTCTTGCGTCAATCACATCGAGGGGTGCAATAATATCATGGTTATGATTTTGCGGTAATCAGAATTCTTTCACTCAACCAGGTATTATTTGTACATTCAGAAGTCGACAAACGAGAAATAATTTATTACATACGTTTCCCAACTCTCCTTTATATATATCGATAATTATGTAGATTGAATTTGAATAATTCAACAGAATGAGCTGAAGCGCATCAGTAAAAGCACCACGTGATATCCCATACCATTTTTCACAGATGCTAGTTTTGCTCTCATTATCAGATTCAACATAATCATGCGATTTATACTCTCCATCTGTTCATTCGAATCATTGATGTTATCAGTACATAATAATAATAGGAATTTACAAAAGAATAAATTATAAAATAATTCAGACTTCAAACACTCTTATCCGAGATATTGCTTCTTATGCTTCTACTACTGTCACGCCTCTGATTTTCTCTGGCCGGTCTGTGAGGCCTGGTGACTACTTGAAGATCCTGATCGCTCTCGATTCTCCTTATAGTTCCGTCTCTTTCGCGTCTATTTGATTTGTTTTTTGGTGATCGTGGACCACGAATATTACTTATGACAACATACACCGCAAAAATTCCTACAGCGAACATTGACACTCCAACACCACCAACTGTAGCTATCTGGAAAATGGAAAAAATGATCCCAATGACGATCGTAAAAATAAATAGCGTTTATTGTAGCAGGTACTATGTGGAAAAAGGATGTATTGACTTTAGGAACTTTAGGCTAGGTAAACAGAAAAAATTTGTATGAACCTAAGGCAGGGTCTGCAAGTGACGTACGGCCTCCGTTTGCATGGCGTTGTAATAAATATAGAAATATTAATCACCTTCGTAATGCAACGCAAACGAATGACGCGCGTTTACACGTATGAAGAAATCCTATAGGATTTCCTACAAAATATGCTGTAGGAAATCCGATGAAGAATTCGAACATTTGCTATGGGTTTTTTAGATAGGATTTTCTATACACTAATAGAAAGAATTAGTTATTGGTAACAAATGGATTTGGTTGAAGCCTATAGGGTCTATTTGATCTCACTAAATGTTCATTCGTTAATAGTTAACAAATGCATATTTGAAAAGCCTTGTTTGACTGGACTTTCACCTTTCAAGTGAACCATTGGTTAACTATTAACGAATATTTATTTGGTCATCTTCAACTCTACTTATAGAAGATTTCTTATAGATTTCTTATAGAATTCCTTATCAGGTGGTTCCCATTGAATTTTCTACAGAATGTTTTATAGGATTCCCTATAGGACATTCTATAAAATTTTCAATAGGATTTCCTATGAAATTTAGGGTCATAAGGGTTAGAATGAGGGCCAAAAGAGGGGGTCATAGAAGGATCATATAGGAGTTATATGAGGCTCATATGTGATTCATATAAGGGTCATGTAAGGGTCATATGAGGGTCACATGGGGACATATGGGGGTCATACAGAAGTCGTAGGAGGGTCATATGGGGGTCATACGAAGGTCATTTGATCCTCATATGACCCTCATAAAACAGCCATGTAATCCCTATATAACCCCCATGTAGCCCCTATATGACTCCATATAACCCTGATGATTCCCATATGACATCCATATGACCCTTATATGACTTTAATGACCCTTTATGACCTTGCATGACCCCTATATGACCTCCACATGATCCCCATATGACACATTTGAACTTCATTGTAACCCTTATGCCCCTAAATTTTATAGGAATCCTGTTTAAAATCTCATATGAAATTCTATAGAAAGTGCTATGGGACATTCTATAAGAAATACAATAAGAAAAACCTGATAAGGAATTCTAGAGGAAATCCTATCTGGAAAATCCTATACACTGAGAAAAAAATTATTTTTGCCAAATATCCATTTACTCGAGAGAAGCATTTATTTTTTCAAAATCGTACCTAATCAGGCAATCCTGATTAGGTTTCAATTATAACAATCATGTTGCTCTAGAGGATGACTATGTTGCATTTGACCTTGGATGAACTCCTCCAATGATTATTCATTTTCCCTAAAGTTCTTATTTTCCGCAAGGAATAATTTTAATTAATTTTTTAATGTTGATAATTATTGAGGAAGCGCACTCAAGGTCATAACCAACATACTCATCTTCTGGAACAATATAATTGTCACAATTGACACCTAATGAGGATAGTCTGGGAATGACTTTACTGGAGAAATCCGGCGTTGCAAAAAATAAATACTTCTCTCAAGTAAATGGATATTTGGGAAAAATAATTTTTTTTCGTGTCACCGGACCTGAAAATTAATATACACACCTCACCATGGAAAATATCACCCTCCCCCACGTGCTTGCCATCCTCGCCGTCGGTTCGGAAGGCAATCTTGCACGTGGGGGACGGTGATCTGTTTTCCAAGGCTCGAGCATGTAATGTACTATTCTCAATGTACGTGTATTGTAGACTCTCCTTAATATAGGGAACGTGGAGCCCAGATGATTTGAGCTCTTGAGAATAACTCTGACCCAGTGACACCTTTTTGTGAAATATACATACGATTTTTTTCTGCAATTATCTCTCTAACAGTGAAAAATAGAGAAAAAATTTCCCCCACTTTCCCTATTCGTCGTCCCGACATCCTAAGTTGAGAAAGGACGAGAGAACGAGACTCTCGCTCTGCTAATGCCCATTATCAAAATTATCATTAGTGTCAATCTTTTGCAATAAATAATTTATGTTTCTCGGTGCCCCGAAATGCCGGATTATGTAAAAGTGGCAGCATTGCGTTGATTGAACGCTGATATTGATTCAACTCCCCATATGATTGAACCGCCGTGGAGAACGAAATATTTTCGAACGTATGTAGTTGCCACCGATCGAAACACCCTCGTCAAACGAGAGACCGTTCTTTAAAAAAAATGGAAGTATGAATTTGATGAATTAATTCCTCACATTAATCAAATTGAGAATTCATACTAAAAATTTTCCATGATGAATAATTATTTTTTTGGGCATTTCAAATTTATTTCTTCTCGTTACACTCAACGACTTCACTGGAGTCCCTTCATACCAGTTTGAACAAGGCAAAGTGTTCACATAATCTCACCATTGTCCACCATTCGTGATCGTCGATCCCAGGAAATAGAGCTTTAGCTATATCGCTTTCATCTTCACTGGTCATACCACTGACGGATGTTGCACAACCAGATTTCTTATCATCGTTGTTCATGAGGACATTCCTGAATGTCTCTGAAATAATTTACGCCGTCAGATATGTATCTCTCCTATTACTCAATTTAAATAGCTTATTACCGTAACGATTCGAATTCCAATGAACTTTAGCCTCGATGTTTCGCACCTCAACATCCGCCAGTTTTTCGAATATATTGGATTGGGTTTTGAATAAGAAGTCGTACTTTCTTGTGGATGTCTTGAGCTTTGCATTATGAGTAGCGATAACGTTTGATAAAACACTGTTCCACTCCGCTGGATTCACCAGCTCCGAGCATTGTTGTTTCGCACTGTACAGCGAATATCACCATGTCCACAAAAAAAGGAGTATAGTCCGTAAGCTGGGGGGGGGGNGGGGGGGGGGGGGGGGGGGGGTTTGCATGCATTTTAGGTCGATGAAACTTTTCTATTAGATCCTATGTTGTTTGACTCGCTGAATCCGACTATCAAGGTCGCAGAGTCTAACTCCAGACAGTGTTTTTGTGATTAACAATTTATTAATAAGCAATTGAAAATTTGACTTTTTCCACTCGGATTTTTTGTCTATAAAATACGCGGGTAATATTTTATGGGTGGCGAGACTGATAGACAAATGATTTTTTACTATCTTTTAGATATTGTTTATTGAAATTGATTTATTTTAAATTAATTGATTTTTTGTGTCACGGAACCTGAAGAACCCCATTTTTGTGGAGCGCAGCCACGAAAAAAATGTGTGTGTGTGTGCGGGATGTGTCGAAGGACCTGAAATTAGCGTTTTTACACACACCTCGCAATGGAAAACATCCCGAGTGGAAGTTGCTTCAGGCCCACCTGAAGCACGATCAGAACATGATCAGGTTTTTGTAAGGTTCGACTGATCCGGTGATTCCTGATGAGAACCTGACCAAGTTTTGATCCAGTAGATCGGATCCGAAAAACTGCAGGATGATTCAGATCAAGTTCTGATCAGGTAGGCACGATCTCACCGCGAGGTCGGCTGCCTGACCCCAATTTGATCAAATTCCGATTTGATGTCTTTGATCGGCATTTGAACGGGGTCAATTGAAGAGAAACTGATGAAATTCAGATCCGGTCCACCTGACATTAATTTTAATGAGTGTTTCGGATAATTTAATTAACTATTATTATACTATTCAAATTAAGTTTTATCAACCATTTTCAATAATTATTTTCAGTCTTTAAAAAGGATCATTATACTATTATTAAAATAAATTAAATTAAATTAATTTAATTTAATGAATTCAAATTAATTAATCAATTTAATTAATAGCCAGCCCTTCTCAAATGTACAGAAGGGAGGGATGATGATGCCGTCAATACGTATTAGAGGAGTATCAAACTGACACGCAAATGACCTTGAGAAAAAAATCACCAAATTTCTATTTATTTATTAGTGTTATTGTTATTATCATTTTTATTATTGATTAATGAAATGAATAAAAATTTAATTGAACATATTTTATCTGTGAGAATACACACGCACATCCGCGAGATCAGGAAGAATCGTAAATTCAACGAATATCCCGATAAAAATCATATAGGCAATGTACAGTTTACTCAATAGTAATAGCGTGATAGCGTAGTGGTTATGGCATAGGATTAGCAATCATAGGGTCTCCGGTTCGATCCCCAGCATCGGTAAAAAAATAATAAGCTTTTTCAGAGGTAATAACAGTAGAGATTCATTAAGAGAGGCGGCCTACGGTGAAAGAATTGAATTATCTTTTGTTTTGGATTAATTATCATTGATAATTTTTATTGATACTGACAGACAGGCCATCCGAGAGGCCTTCGGCGATCCTCGTCTCCTGCTTGCCACGCCTCTTGCTGCAACTCCACACTCCTCACAAACCGCCGCTTATCGCCCTCATGACATAATGTACTAATATTTCGTTTCAGATGGGTGCATAGGTTCTTCACATGATACGTGAGTAATCCATGAAGGAATCTGCTTTGTGTACACCAGGTTGGTCTTGTTTTTATCGGTGTGACTATTTGCACCAAATACGGGTGATGCACGAATAATGTACACCATATACGTACGGTGAGACTGAAGAGATTGCGCATTCAGTTTTCAGAAGTGGGAGACAAGGATGTGAACAGGGATTGGGTGAAGTGGGGGTAACTCTGAGGGACACAGTCTCTTCAACTCTACTGTATACACCGTGCATTATTTACGTATCATATGAAGAACTTCACATACGTGAAGCACGAGAATTTTTTTTCTATTTCAATAAACAATATTAAGGAAGTAGGGTTATGAGAAATGTGGAGAACAGCTTCCGGGTTGATGCCGCGTTTGGTTTCAGCATTGCGCCGACGTTTCGCAAACATTGCAGTCTGCATCTTTAGGGCTAGGAGTTCCGATTCTCAATTAAAAATCTATTAAATTTTTTTTACAATTTTTTGATTAAAAATTTTTTTCAATTGACCAGTTGATCAATTGAAAATGATTGGCAATCACCCCCCCCCCCCCCCCGCCCACTCAACATCGCTCCCACCATCACAGGGGAGGGCATATAAGGACTATCTCCAGATATCGGAACTCAGAATCGGAGCTCATAGCCCTGAAGGTGCAGGCTGCAATGTTTGCGAAACGTTGGCGCAACGCTGAAACTAAACGCGGCATACATCTGGAAGCCAATGATATCAATAATCATGGCCGCGAAAGCTTCAAAACTAAGATGTATAAGATTGTTGCCAATTCTGAATTGATATATAGTTCCCTGATATAAACTGTGAAGATAAATAACAATTTCATAAACAATATTCAGACTATCTTGCAATATTATTTGTTTATGAATGTTTATTGATGAAATTGTTGCAAATTCGAGAAAATATTTCAGCCACCCCCTCCCTAAAATACGCGTATTTTATAAAAGAAAGTCTGGGTCGAAAAAGTCGAATTTTCAATTATTTATTAATACATTGTTAAGGACAAAGAAACCTGTCTTTTTTGAAAGTGAAAATATGTTAAGTAACAAAATGAATTATTTTCAGATTTTGCAGACTCCACTCTCAGTGGACGTAAAATGGAAAAAATGGAGCGCGGGATGCCTCTCTTCGGCTAACTATGCCATTAGGGGAGGGTGGGGCAAAACGGCCCCCCTTCAATTGTCATTAACTTGTGAATGACATCATGAAAATTCTCAGTTTCAACTTCATTTTGAAGATAATTTTTCATTCTTCAAAACGAGCTCTAACTCATCCCAATCGGATTATTGAATCGGAAAATATTGACGATTGAAGGGGGACCGTTTTGCCCCATCCTCCCCTATTAATAGAAAAAAGTCAATAGATTTGTTGTGTCTTTTATTGAACACAAATTAATAAAAATCGATTCTTCAATCCAAATTTTCTAGAATGAATTTCCTAAGGTTTTTTTCTTTAACTTGCCCAAAATACTCAGTATATCTACACAATGGACCGATTTTACCAAGCCCTTTGTTAGCTATATAATCCGTTGGGTTAAAACTGTTTCAATGTAAACCTTATGAAAATTGGACTGAACGGATTTTTATGCGAAAATTTCAATTGAGTAAGAGGCAACGAAGGATCAAAATCTAAATCGAACTTGCCGCTGAAGTGACGGATTAATAAGAAGCGGAAAAAAATATGACAATTTTCAGGACAAGTTCAAAGGAAATTTGTAGTAAATGCATATTATGTTCTCGCCGTAAAGTGGAGTTGATGTACATTAACATGGTTCTTGCGTTCTTTGTACTCTACGCCGTTAACACAATTAAGGGGAGACCGCGGTGAAATTTGAAATTCTCGGCTCGGCCTTAAGAGCCATTGGACGAATTTTGAAATATGAAGGGATATATAAAAAAGTGAGAAAAATTTCGGACCCGAACCGTTTTGCCCCGTGTATCCACCACAAACGTCGTTTTTCACGTTTTTAGCTTAGAAATGCCCCTTGCACCACAGTTTTCATCCGATTTCAACTTTTTTTTGTTGAAATGTTCGCTATACCCAAGTACCTGTTTTGCTTTCTATTTATCAGATTATGAGAAAATGATTTCTTTAGTTTCTATTTTTTTTCCTCTTTTTAGCAAATGCTAAAATTAGTTGTTTTTCGTTATTCCACGTTGTAATCATAAGTAATCGAAATATTATAACAAAAAAAAATGGGCGGAAAACAACGAATTTTAGCATTTGCTAAAAAGAGGGAAAAAAATGAAAACTAAAAAAAAACATTTTCTCATGATCTAATAAATATAAAGCAAAACGGATACTCGGGTTTGTTCGTTGGAGTATAGCGAACATTAAAAAAAAAAAGAGTTGAAATCGAATAAAAACTGTGGTCCAAGGAGCATTTTTAAGCTAAAAACGTTCAAAATGACGTTTTTGGTGGATATACGGGGCAAAACGGTTCGGGTCCGAAATTTTTCTCACTTTTTTATGTATCCCTTCATATATCAAAAGTCATCCAATGGCTCTTAAGGCCGAGCCGAGACTTTCAAATTTCACCGCGGTCTCCCCTTAAAGGATTCCAAAACTCACCATAATACGTCAAACGCTTTCACATAAATCTCAATAGCATCTTCTAACCATCTGATATCTCTCAATTCTTCCGCATCATATTCACCAATTTCCGCACTGGTCCACCATTTCGAGTTCTTAATCCTGTTCTCCAAATCAGGCATCTCGTTTCTATAAAAAAAATTATAAAAGATGCATTGAACAACGAGAGGGAAACTTTTTTTTAAAGATTTTTTGCGAATTGTTGATCGGATTGATGCAAAAAAATATACCATTTATATCTTATCATTATTGAACTAAAATCAATCAATCAATCAATCAATTGTCATTAATGGCTCATAAAATTTCATCACTGGGCAACCGTTTTTCTGCGTTTTCCCTAGATTTGTGATTTTTCAAAAGTGTATGAAGTGGACAATTGCATTTTTTGTAAATGAGTCTAGTTGTTGTCGCTAACTAAGTAGCAATTTGCTTCCAAATGGATTCTCTTTTTTCCAAATTTCTATTTTGCTACTTCTTGTCATTGTTTTTATGTTATAGACCTGACATTGATTGAAATTTCATGACAATCTTTTTCTATTATTCCGTTTTTTATTTTGCATTATCCGGTATTCAAACCCTAAATTCACATCTAAACTCGAATTCAGTTTTAGTCAGAGTGTAATCAAGGTTTATTCGCGATTCCAACGAAATATATCATCAGGGTTCAGCCGGAGTTCAACACATGCTATTTAGCCGGTATTTTATATGATTTTAATCAGGTTTAATTAAGATTTAATTGCAATCTAAACAGAATTTAATTGGGGTTTCGCTGGAGTTTAATCTAGATTTAACCACGGTTTAATTGAGGTTTAGTCGAAACCATGAATAAATATGTGTAAGTATCCTTATCCTTATATATAAAGAAGAGCATCGAGAATATCGAATGAGCACTCGAACAGCACTCGAATGAGAATCGATTGTAAAAAAAGTCGAACTCGAAACTCGAACATGAGAACAAGCTTCGATAAGATCACCAACAGATGGCATTGCTAGGGAAATGGGCGCGAATTTCAAAAAATATTTCTTATCGGAAATAGAATACAAGTACATTATCTTATAGATAGGTAAATTGATGTATATGTTGTGTATTATAAATATGAAAGGAAGCTCCTTCATCTCAACTGAGATAGTAATGCAAGGACGGGGGGGGGGGAAGTATAAATTTCAGGGCGAAAAATTATTTCCACCTAATTTTTTTTTTAACCCGGTAAATACTAATATGGAGGTTCCCAAGTCAAACTATTTGTTTTTATATCCCGGCCCTTTCTGCCCTCTGATTGGCTAATTGGCCCTATCCAACCCTATGCATGCGGCTGTGCATTCTACACTGCACCGCATTCGCACTCCTATAGAACATAGGAGTAGCATGGGAAACCACAGAAAACCCATGCCGGTACAGGCGGTCACTCTATTAGCGACCTCTCGCTCGCCGGAGCCTCCGGTTGAAAAACTCGGTTCCACGGGGAATCGAACTCACAACCTTTCGCACACTAGGCTCGCACCTAGCCGCTTCGGCCACCAACAAACACTCCGGTCAAGCCAAACTCCTGTGAGATTTTTTGTTGTTAACGAATTATTAATAAACAATTGGAAAGCCAACTTTTCCGATGAGAATTTTTTTTCCGTAGAACACACCTGATTTCAACGGGGGTAAGTCTTCAAACATTTGTCCGTATTTACAGCGATTTTATCAATAAAATTTCATGAACAAATGATTTTTAAAGTATTTTTCAATATTATTTGCTGAAAATGTTGACTGAAATTTTTTTTTGGATTTCACGTAGTTATATGGGTTTTTCATATGATACGTGAGTGATTTATAAAAAAATCTACTTCGTTAATTTTTTTTCAATTTGTTTAAACAAAAGACGAAAAATATCAATTTTCATTAAGAAAATTTTCTTTTCTGAATATTGCAGATATTTTAGTGAAGATAAGTCCTTATGATTTTTGCCTTTAACTCGACTGTTTGTTGAATGAAAAATGATAAATAAATTCGTTGATCATTGTTTATCACTTTTTATTTAATAGACAGTTGAGTTGAGGGGAAATATCATGAGGACTAACCGTCCTTGAAATATCTTGAATCTTCAGAAAAAAAAGTTTTCCCATTAAAAATCGACTTTTTTTCATCTTTCGTTTAAACAAATTATTAGAAAAAAATAATCCGGTTTACAGGAAGTAGATTTCTTCATGAATCATTTACGTATCATATGAAGAACCTATACAATTATGGGAAATGCGAAAAAAAGTTAACATTTCAACAACAAGTCAACATTTTCAGTGAACACTATAGAAAATACCTTGAAAATCATTTGTTCAATCAAATTGCTGTATCTCAGAAACTACTGGGCCGATTGAACTGAAACTGCGCCTAGAAATGCTCCAAAGTAATACCAATTATGTGACGAAATTTCAGATTTCAAGCTTCAGCTTTAGTCCTTTTTGTGTCGTGATTTATAAAAATTTTCGAAAAAATCGACACACACTTTCGGACACACACATACATGGTCCTCAAATTTTGTAGTTTTTCGTTTCAGACCATTCTACATCATTTCCAAGCAAAATTAGCGAATCGAAAAATCGACCGATTACAATGCTTCCATTCGGAAGCAAAAATTACAAGAATTGCGGGATTTTATAGAAGCTTAGGAAAATTTGAGATTATTTATCGAAGGTACAAGTTCATGAAATAAAGGGAAAGACGACGACTGAAAAATCTGGACTATAAGAAATTTTGTTTTGCCCTCTGCATAGAATTCAGTTCAAAATTATATTGAAAATCTTATTCAGTGAGCCTAGAAATTCCATATTAGTGAATCATTTATTGAAATATTGAAATTGAATAGAGAATGAACCGAGACGCATCGTTCTCATTAATCTGACACTCAGTACAATGAGAACGATGATGAATAATTAATTTTGATACAAATGAAAAAGAAAAAAAGGAGAGTCGGCATAATGAAAGAGCATCAACGTCGCGGCTGCACTCTGATTGGTTGAAATGAGAATAAAGAAAATAATTTTTGAAAACACGAGAGAAACAGCCAATGCTCTCAAGAATTCTACAAATTCTTCATGTTACATGAAAAAAAATTCATAAGATTTTGGAATCTTATGTAAAATTTGACTAAATTGTAGATGAATGATTCAAGTTTCTGATTGACGGAATCCTTGAATGGAATAGTGAAGAAGATCATGAATAAGGAGAAAATACTCCGAATTAGTGAAAAGGCATCAGAATTTGTTGGATAATTTTCCCAGACAAATAATTGAATGCTTTTGCAGGGGAGTAAAGAGGAATGAAGGTGGAGGCAAAAAATTGAAAATTCTGGGTTATATTGAATTTCATGATTATTGTGTCGGACTCTGAAGGGAATTCCGACTTGAATTACAATTGAAATCGAGAATATAGATTCAGTGAGCACAGAAATTCAAAATTAAGAAATCACTTATTAAAATATTGAAATTGAACAGGTGGTAAACTGACATGCATTGTTCTCATTAATATTAATATTCAGAACGATGAAACGCTGATAAATGATTAATTTTGGAGAAAAAAGGAAGGAAATAAAGAGAAAAAAAAGAGGAAAAAGGGGCATCAACGTCGCAGCCGCGGCGGCGCTAGTTCAATATAAGATTGAGATAGGAGTTTCGTAGAGATCACACTCGTATGGAAATATACTATTGTGACACTCCTGCTGTGTTCATCTCGTGCCAAAAAGTGCGTTTTCATTTACTTGCAAACGTAAAAGGCACAGTGGGCGTAGTGGCCAAGAGTTGGGGGG